AAAACCTTAAATAATGTTGCAGCACTTGCAAATCAGTGTCTTTCTTCCTTACAAAGCACTAATCACACTAGAAGTAGTTAATATTTTCTGAAGAGTTTTAAAGTAAAACCCCTACGCAAGGTAGCTGGTAGTTAAACATGCAGGACTTCTACACAAGGCTATTGTATTACTTGGTTTCAATCTATTTCTGGATTCAGCCTAGGTACATAACTTTACAGCAATGACAGACGTAAAAGGCAATATTAGTTTTCTTCTCATGTATCAAGATTACAATTTTAGCAGGCTTTCAGTACAAAAAGCACAGGACTGGTCCATCTTGGATAAGGAACGCCATTAGAATGGGAACCAAATTCAGAACCTTTGCTTGTTCTCCTGCAATAAGGACATTAGTGCCTATTTCTCTACCTGACACAAAAGCAATCCACCTATCTAGAAACTATGAAAAGTAACTTACTTATTCTCACAGAACTGCAGAATTTTCTACCACAACCATTTAAAGCAATTCTACATTAATTTGTTTTCACAAGCACTTCAGGAATGCAAATAGGGAAACACCTAACATGTTTTACTTCTAGGGATAAATACACCTACATTACTGTGAGTGGCATCTCTACATTATGTATTTGTAGTAATCAGTTGTTAAATCCAGTATTCTCCCCAAAAGCTTACGCTCTCCAGCACGTGGGGGGGACACAGCCTCCTGGCTAGAGCTACTGTGCTGGCTGGAGAGCTGGCAATCTCTGGTAAATGGCTGAACTTCCCTCCTTCTGCCTTGATAACCTGCTCTCCTCCTACCTTCTCTCACAGAATACAGAGAAAAGTCCTGGGTGGCTGAGCAAAAAGAAGAGTCTGCTACTTCAATTTCAAATAATTGACTGAAATGGTCAAACATGCTGAAAGACGCAGCCAGACCTTTGCAAGTAACACCACTGTAAAACTGGCATGCCCAAGTACATCAGCCAGACGTTTCAAAAAGAATCTAACTTCAGACATCTGAAAGTTAGTTTAAAATAGATATCTACATGGGTTTCAGTAGGAAAGTCATCTGAACTATTTTAGGGAAGACAAATCACTTCAGAGAGCGCCTTTTCTTCTCTACTCATCCTGAAGAGGATCTGCAGTTAGTAACTCATACTTACAAAGTCAAACTTTCAAGAATCTAGAGCAGAGAAGACGAATCCTACTCTTTGCTCTGTCCAGAACATACCATATTTGTTAGTGTCAGGCAAGCCATCACAGCTTCACAACCTAAGGCCTCCTGATCAGATTTAGCCCAAAGTACCACCCATTTAGCTCACAGCAGTTTCCAGGTTCCCAGGAGGGTCATAAGCTCTCCCATGTATTCACAGTAGTTTCCAGGCTCCCAGGAGGGTCATAAGCTCTCCCATGTAATGTGACAAGACACATACTCATCACATGAATAAAATCATAGATGTATCTGCAGCCATGCAATGAGTGTGCTTGCATGTACCTGTACACTCCCTCACACTCACATAAGGTCTTCCCAGGGTGGTAGGAGTGTGCCTGCCTGATACTTTTCCCTCCATGGTGTCCAACTCTCAACTGGCATCCACAAAAACAAAATGCTGGCATCGTTGCTTCATGTTACAGACAGACTGTGACGATTAGACTGGGAACATCTACTGCTCTGGGTATGTTTACCCCACGTAATTCAACAGTATGTAAATATCTAAGCTAGATAAGTATTAATTAGATAGCTAGAAATGAGATAGCTCCAGAAATGGAAACTGCACTAACAAGATAATCCACCCATGCTTGTGTATACTGGTCAAAGAATTTACAGATACAGTGTTGTATAGAGACACCTGCCCAATTATTCACTGTAGACACACCAGCAGTGTAATTTCCTTCGCAGGGCAAGGAAATTCTTGCAGAACAGCTAAAATACTAAGGCTCCACAGCTGAGTGACAAATACTAAGAAGTGAAAAAAAATTCTTGCAAGAAGAGAGTTTCTTCAGCAATGAAGATTTTGGCAAGAAAGGAGGGCACCACTTCCACACCATTCCTTGAAGACTCCTTAGAAAAAACAACTGACTTTTCAACTGACAGTAATGAACCAACGTATATGTATCTCATAAGAAATGTAATCAAATCAAGTTTCAGAAGACTAGCACCCTCTTTTCTGGTATTATTTGAAAGTCAGAACAAAGACTCAACAAGGAAACAGTGACTTGTTTTGGAAAGGCTCCACAAGATTCTTTCATATAAAAGTTTAAAAATCTGAAGAAAGTCATCAGATGTTTCGAGAACAGTTATTCTTTGAAGAGTGGTTCTAAAAATTATATTCTAATTCTAATTGTTCCATATGTTCTCTTCGCATGACTTAGATACATTAACTCAGTTTGACTCAACTCCTCCAAACAACATCCAACACAGAAAAAAAAATAAACATATTTTTTCACTCCAAAAAAAAGTATCATTAGATTGAATATTTGTCCATCTATGATACCAATATACTACATATATTTTTATGCCAGACAACTGCTGTATGTTTATTCCTCTTTATTTACTTTTCTGTAAAATTAGATTTAACATCTTTACATAAATAACTTCCAACCTGAGGCAGGCTGAGGGGAGACCTGATCGCTCTCTGCAACGACCTGAAAGGAGGTTGTAGCCAGGTGGGGGTCAGTCTCTTCTCCCAAGTAACCAGTGATAGAACGAGAGGAAATGGCCTCAAGTTGCGCCAGGGGAGGTTTAGATTGGATATTAGGAAGAATTTCTTCACCACAAGGGCTGTCAAGCACTGGAACAGGCTGCCCAGGGAAGTGGTAGAGTCACCATCCCTGCAGGTGTTTAAAAGACGTGTAGGTGTGGTGCTTAGGGACAGGGTTTAGTGGTGGGGTTGGCAGTGCTAGGTTAACAGTTGGACTCAATGATCTTAAAGGTCTTTTCCAACCTAAACGAGCCTATGATTCTATTCTGTTTTAAAGAGAAATCTTTGCAAAAGAAACAAGATGCTTTATTTTTTGAACAATTGAATATCACTCTCTAATTTTGTGTTCTATGTACATCCATTTTCCTATGGAACAAACAATTGTCTTAATTAGTATACACTGACATTCATAAATTAATGTAAAACCTTTAAATTACTTAATAAATTATTTCTACTGTATTAATCTCAAGGAATCTCTGCTGTGGTCATAGAGTAGGTATTAAATCTCAGCAGGAGCACACTTCTATTCAGTAATCTCCTGACACCACACAGAAGTAATGGAAATTAGAATGAGAACAAGCTAGCACCCAACCAGACCAACTTTAACTGCATCGGTAGTATCGTAACAGCTTTTAGAAAAACTTTTTTTTTTTTCCTTTTAAGTGTTAGTACACATAGTGCAGAGCACAGATCTAAGGAAGGTTTGTCCATGTTTGACCACCTGAGTGAATGAACTACGCAAGTGACTTGGAACAACCAATCCAGTAGTGACTGATTTTCATTTATTCTCTCAAAGGAATACAAAAATCTTTGCACAGCTACAGAAGGGTGATTTTAGGTTCATCTAAACTACTGAAGTTTCCATGAGAAGGACTAGAGGAGATGCTAAGACAAATTCTCAACTTTGTATTCATCAGAAACATGGCAGGAGGATATAAGCCACTTTATTATGTTAGTATTTCCAACCTTGTGGTAAAAAGAACCTTAGCAAGTTGGTTAAAAAAAAAATATATATTCTTCAGATCCATTAGATGCTTAAACTACAGAATGCTATGCCATTGTAAAAATGTCAAAACTAATGCAAAATAGAAGATATGCTTAAATTCAACAGTTATTGTCAGACACCATCTGCTTTTTCTTTCATTCTTTTCTGATTCTGATCTGTAAGAAACCGCAGTATCAAATGTCACTTAGTTCTTATTCAAACAGAGCAGTCCAGACACAGCGGCTGCACCAGCTGACTTGGCTGACCTGGGCCTGGAGTTAAAACAAACCCCTATAAATCACCAGATGTAAGCAATTGAATAGTGATCAATTTAATTAACTGAACAGCTTTCCAAAGTTTACTGTATTGTTTTAACCCTTCAGGCTTCTTCAAGAAAGGTAACTTGCAATTTGTATTCAAGGGCAGGATTTGGCCAGAGGGCTACATACTACTAGCTTTACCCACTTTAGATTCCCATTGATAAAACACAACTCCCACACATGAAAAATGTGTCTTTTCTTTTTTCCAATTAGTAGTATGATAGTAACCGTTTTCGTTGGCACTTCCTTCAACATTTTAGAGAAATTACATCACAGGAAAAGAATCAAACTGATTTCAAGTGAAAACCTCAGGAATAAAATTTCCTTTAAAATCAACTGGTTTGGTTACGGGCCCTATATGCCTTTTACAACTTTACACTTGTATTACAGATGCCACATCAAGTAACCTACTAATGTCTTTCAAACAAAACTATTAACACAGACATAATCATGTGTCACAATTATATGTATTAACTGCAGTCATAAAAAAATTATGCCACATGTTAAAATGGGCTCAAAACGACATTTTAAAGATACTGGCAAAACACCTTCTAACCTAGATACTTGTCCTGAAGCTGCGTCTTGAGGGGATTTCCCCATGTTGCCCACTGAAATTAAAAGGACTTCTGCCATGATTTAACACAAGTGGGATTTCAGCCAAGATGCCTAATGATAGAGTATAACTCTTGTTTTAAAGTCTGCATTGTACAAGTTTGTATAACATTTACTAATGTTTGTACAGTGCCTAGCACAACAGGGCTGAGGCTTCTGGGCACTACCACAACATAAATTAATTCTAATGCACTCTTTGTATCTGAGAGAAGCATAAAAACTACAAGGATTAAGTTCAATTATACACATTTTAAACAACCTGCTAAATAATATGACATAATCAACTTCCTAACCACAAGCTGCTCTATTTCCAATTATATCACTTTAATCTCTATAATACACGTATTTCCACAAACTCTGTAGAGTTAGTTCCACTAACTAGGGACAAGAGTAAGATCTACTTACAAAGACAGAAGAGTTATATTCGCAGAGACTGGTCCCAGATCTGGAATGATCTCAAGTTCATTGTTGTTCAACTTCCTATTAATATTAGAAAAGGGAGAGTCAGTTTTGATGTTAATCAGAAGTATGTACATTGGACTTGCTAAATTGCTCAACAGTGTCACTCCAGAATTCAAAAATAATTCCAGTTTCACTTAATGTAAAATATCAGACCAGTAAACACCTTTGTTGTTCAACCAATTATCCCCAGAGAAATAGCTACACAATTAGTATACACAAATACTGGTTGGGGTTTTTTTGTTGGAGTTTTTTGTTTGGTTTTTTTTGGTTGGTTGGTTTCTTTCG